CCTTTGTATAAAGGCATTTGGTCACCAATTTAGAGATAGACTTTATTAACCCATAGGTTAAAAACCAGAAAGGAAACTTGAGAAAAACCTAGACCTAAGAAAATCCTAGCCTTGGCCACTCGGAGCCCTTAGATCAAGAAATCCTTCCAACCAAGCCAAGGTCTAATCAAAACCTGAAAAGAGACAAATAATACGTACGGCATAAACTCAACCGGTCCTTAGGAGTTCCTGGCCAATTGGCACAGGTACATTTTTACTTTTTCTTTTGTGTTTCTTTTATTTTTATTTATTTTACTATAATTAAATTAGTTTTATTGTTTTTTATATAGTATTTCTTATTTTTTGGATCGATACTGGCTTTGTCACTGATCTGAGAATCCTAAAAAAATGTGCTTTTAATAGATCTGGTATCATATTAGAATTTCATTGTCCCACTCTCTATCTCTCGAATTAGGTCAGATCTCACCTTGACATAATTCCGAATTGTATCGTGAACAGTTTGGCGCCCACCATAGGGCATTTCGAACTAGATCTATGCACGAAAAAAAAAAATAAGGGGGGCCCGAGATCTTCTTTTGAGGGCCAATTTTTCTTTTTGTTAAATCATTTTATTTAATTGTATCTTGCGCTAGTTTCCCTTCTTTTTTTTATCTCTTTATTTTTATTTTTTTTTTCCATAATTTGGTGCTTATTGTATATCTTTTCTTCTTCACCTCCATCGATTTTACATCTTTGGTACCCTGTTAACATTAAAAAAAAAAAAACCTCCTTATTAAGGAGGTTTGGATCCTGTTGTACTTTCACAAAAGAGTACGTTTTTTTAGGATTCTCCAATGCTCCAAAAATATAAAGAAACAACGTAGGATGTATAGACTCATCTTGTTTCTTTTTTAGGTTATTACAATAGCACGGTGAATTAGTGTAGTGTGAGGTCTCTTAGAAATATATTAGCATGATTCTTTCTTAGGTTGTCATGTGCGTGGAGAGATATGGAGGCTCTTATAGATCAGAGCAAATAGGGAAGGGAGATTGAGAGAAAATAGGGAGAAGAAATAAGAAAGTAAGATTAAGAGAAAAAAAAGAAGAGAGATTGAGAGAAAATTGAGAGAAGAAATAGAAAAAAGAAGATCTGAGAGAAAATAGGGAGAAAAAATCATGAAAAGTGAGAGTTCTAGGGCGTCGGAGAGAGGAAAAAAAAGGTCTTTTTGTTTTAAAAGCCACTTGTTTTTAAAAAAAGAAAAAAAAAAGCTTTTAAGGACTTTCTCATTTTTTAAAAAGAAAATTTTATTAAAATTTTCATTTCTTTTTTTAGAAGTCTCTTCATTTTTTAGAAGTCTCTTTTTTAGAAGTCTAATTTTTTTAAAAAGCTGTTTTAAAATTTTTATTAAGGACTTTCTCATTTTTTAGAAGTCTCTTCATTTCAAAAAAAAAAAAGGAATTTCTTCCGTCCTTTTTTTATTATTTTTAGTTTTTAAAAAAAAACTATTTTGCTAGGAGAAACTTTTAATGCCTCTTTGATTAAGAAAAAAAAAAGCCCCAGATCTCTTTTTGGGGCACCTTTTTAAGTTTAAGTAAAAATAAAATAAAATCATTGAAACACCACCTTCCATCCAATTCATCTCTTGTTGTCGTTCCTTTCCTATTATGCTTGCAAGCCCTTTTCTTTCTTTTTTTGAGTTTATCATCAATATTTTTTTTTGTTTTTTGTGTTGATCTCTTGCTCATGGCCATCAAGCCTTTATGTTTCTTCCATAAATTTTTTTTTGTTAATTTGTTATTATCTTGCTAAGGGATAAGATTCTTGTCATTTTCTTTCTCTTTAATTTGTTAACTTGTTATTATCTGGCTAAAGGAATAAGGGTTCTAGTTATCTTCTTTCTCTTCTTTTTCCTAAAAAGAGGCCCTTAGTTAAAAAAAACACACTTCTCCTACAAAAGAGGCCTCTCCTCCAACAGAAAAAAAATAAAACAAAAACAAACGTTCGTCTCCTCCAATTTTAAAGAAAATTGGTTTTTTTATTTTTTATTTTATTTTTTTAGGAAAGAAGACAGAGAAGATAAGTGATCCTTTACCCCTTTAGCAAGATAATAACAACTTCAAATTTTTGATGGAAAGAAATGTAAGAAGAAAAAAAAAATACCAAATATTATCCCTTTACTAAGATAATAGCAAATTAACAATAAATTTTTATGGAAAGAAATAGAAAGGCGTGAACATGATAACAAAAGAAGGACAACAAGAGATAAATTGGATGGTAGGTGATGTTTCAATGATTATTATTTTTTTTAATCAAAGGGGCCTTAAAAGTTTCTCTTAGCAAAATAGGAATTTTTTTCAAAAGATAAAAAAAGGGCTTAAAAAGAAATTCTTTTTTTTAAAAAAAAGAAGAGACTTTCCAAAAAAAAAAAAGGTCTTTTTAATGAAAATTCCTTTTTGAAACTAAGAA